CAACAAGCAGTGCTCCACACAGAGATCTGATCTCACCATCATCCAGTCCGTCTGAAATGACATGAAGAATCAGAAAAAAATGAGACCGACTAAATCCAGAACAACTGTGGCAACGTCTCCAAGACACTTGAAGAAACCGTCCTAAGATACCTGAAAAACTATGTATAAGTGTAACTAGGACAAAAGCTGTTTTAAACGCAAAGGGTGGTCGCACCATATGTTGATTTGATTTAGTTAATAGAAGCTAATTGATTAATACAATCTATTTATGACATAATTTTTGAAAGCATTCTAACTTTACAACATGTTTACACAAGTGCCTATAAATTTTCACAATACTGTAGATTGTAGGAAGGTTTCTTCATCTTGGAGATGTTGCTGCAGTTCTTCTGTATTTAGTCGGTCTCAGTTTTTTTTTATTCTTCATTTCATTTCAGACAGACTGGATGATGGTGAGATCAGATCTCTGTGTGCAGCTGGCTGTTGTCAGACTCCTTGTGCAAACAAAAATCTCACTGGATTATTACAATTAATGGCAAAATAAATGTTTGGAAATGTAAACTGATATTTCCTATTTACTACACAAAAGATAAAAATAACTGGCTTAAAACCATTTTTTTTTGTTGGTGAAAATATTAATGGCCAAAGACTTTTGCACAGTACTGTATATATCTATGAGTACTGTATGTGAGACATTTTAGATAATCAGTTTTTGTGTCATGGAACAACCTAAGAGAAGAGCTCCCTCTAGTGATGGTGTATAAAACTACAACGCCAACGGTGATGAGCAGCACAGAACTGATCAACTTTATTCACAAGTAAATACTTACAGGCTACTCCAGACAAATTGACCTAAACATGTTCTAAATATCGTAAACATTATTGCATAATTCATCTGAAAAAGTGACACAAACATACTATAACAAAATCAGCACTGAAATGTTCTGGAAGTTTCAATATTTCAGTCAACAGGCACTTTGGGGATTCTCTTTGAGCAGAATTTAACACTTTACAATTGAAAAAGATCTACAATCTTCAAATTCTATAAACAGCTCAAACATACCTCCACCGAGTGTATTTAAAAAACCTAAAAACAATAAATTACAGACATGACCTGTAGATAACAGAATAACTGTTTAGATCTACTGTAACATGACATGAAATGATACTGACAAGCTATAAATCTCTGAAGGTAAACGCTGACGCTGTTATGCAGGAGTGTGAAGTATTTATAGTTCATCATGTTTGTAGGTGAACTCTCGAGCTGATATAAATCCATCATTGTCTTCATCTTCTTTTTGGAAGATGTCCTCAGCCATCACTTCATGATGGGTGTCATTGGCGGCATATCCATTTCTTTCAAACTCTTTACGCAGGTATTCTTTGACCTAAAACAGAAAGGTGTTTAGAATAACACAAATAACTCCCTGAAATTGAAGAGGTGGTTGATCAGCTTTTTCCGAAAGCTTGATTGTGTTTATGGGGTACAGTGTAACATGTGTTCATGCTTCGTTTAAAAAAAAACACATTATTTTCACATATTTTACCTTTATTCTACACCGCTGTTTCCATTCTCATCAAAACGGTCTGTTGAGTTCCTGGTTCTATGAAGCCCCTCCCTCAGAAATACGCAATAGGCTCTGATTGGTTAGCGGGCCCAGTGTGTTTGTGATTCGCTAACCGTCTAGTGCATGTTGTCCGGAAACGTCACGCCCCCTTACCATTAGTTGCGTGTTTATGTAAACATCGGGGTTAGTGATGTCACAAACCCAGGAAGAAGCTCGTTGTAGTCCCTACCAGCCGTTTTTTTGTAGTCCTTAAAGGGGTCATATGATGCAATTTCAAGTTTTCCTTTCTCTTTGGAGTGTTATAAGCTGTTCGTGCATAGATAAGATCCCTGAAGTTGCAAAGACTAAAGACTCAAACTCAAAGAGATATTCTTTATAAAAGTTAAGAGTCGTCCACGCCATCCTAAAATGCCTCGTTTAAACACGCCCCCACATGTCTACATCACTGTGTGGGAAGATTTGCATAACACCGCCCAAATGTTCACGCAAAGAAAGAAGGCGTAACTTTGATTCTTGCTGTAGTATTGTTGCTGCCGCCGCCATGTCGTGGAGACGCTGTGTGTTTCGTTGTGAAAGCGAAACTACTTTGTTTGGCCTTCCAAAAGAGGACACAACTAGAAATCAGTGGTTAAAGGAATCACAACACACTGTATGGCTGGCCAATCAGAGCACACCTCGCTTTTCAGACCGATGAGCTTTGTAAAAATTGACGCGTTTCAGAAAGGCGGGGCATAGAGGAGCAACAATATTGTACAGTATGTGGAAAATAATGTGTTTTGAACCTTAAACCGCATAAACACATTGCATTACACCAAATACATAAAATAATGTTCTTTTTAGCAACATCATATGACCCATTTAAACAGCGATTTCTTTAAAAGAAAATATCTCCCTAAAGTTCAAAAAGTGAAATCATAATCAACCACTCCTTTAATTATTGGCATTGATGGTTCCATGAAGGACCTTTAACATTCATGTAACCTGTCCACTGCACAAAAAAAGTTCTTTATAGTGGAAAAAAGATTACTGGGATTGTTAAAATATTCTTTACACTAAGAAAAAATTGTTCTTTTAAGAACTGTTCCATGAAAGATTCTTTGGGGAACCAAAATGGTTCTTCTACTGCATTGCTACAAAACCCCCTTTGGGAACCTTTATTTTTAAGAGCGTATCATAAATCTCCTGCTTGACGGACAGCTGCTTTCTGACACACAGTCGTGAACAAGCAACTGTTTCGACAAACCTCTGCTTTGGAAAGTTTCCAGTCATCATTGAGGTCCATTTCCTGAAAGGACTCATGTGATCTAGGCCCATTTCGGATCTCGATGATCTCGATGTCAAAGATCAGAGTGCTCTCCGGTGGGATTTTACCTGAGAACAGAGCATAGCCATTGTCAATATAGCTAATCTGAGCCATACATTTGTATGGGGCATTTTAGACAGACTTAATGCAACGTCGATGACTAATTCAATATCAGAAGGTGGAGAAAACCACAGTTCTTCAAATGTTTTATGCATATGCATTTTGCTGGCACACCTTTGCCCTCTTTGCCATATGCAAGAGCTGGAGGGATGGTCAGTTTCCTCTTCTCCCCTGCACACATGCCTTGAAGACCCTTGTCCCAACCCTTGATCACCTCACGGATCCCCAAAGTGAACCAGACAGGGTTTTTGTCTCCATGACGGCGGCTGCCAATTACAAGACATGTGCATTAGTAATAAAGGCTAGAAACATGCACACTCTGTTGGAAAATCAAGCTTGAGTTGGTAGCTTTTTTTAACGAAACATAGTAGGTGGTTGCTATCTGGTCTAAGCTGGTTTTTGGATCATGGCAGCTGATCAGCTAATGGTCTGGACCAGACAGAAACCAGCTACAGTACCATGTCCCAAAACATTAACAATTGTATATCCAACAACCATAAACACATTTTGACAGTTAACCAATGCATTCCCAGTGAAAAAAAGGGCAGGGTTCGGTTAATAAAATCTTTGCAGTGTGTAGCCTATAGTGTGTATGAACATGCATTAGATGGTTTATTAGATGTCACCTGGAATGAAACATTGTGCCATTACTCTCCAGAAAGCCTTCGTAGTGAACCAGAAGAATATCTCCGTATTTGGATTTACGATGGCAAAGGAAAGGTTTGTATAAAACCTCTATTTTGACCTCAGGTTCCGGAAGTTTTGCTCCAAGCACGTAAAAGAATAATGCAGAAAAAACGCATGTCCACAACTCTGGAATCATCTTAATATAAAGAACAGTTTAACACTCTCTAACTGTTTAGCTGATTTTTCATGCACAATAAAGTTCTGAAAAAACTTCCCAAACTACAAGTTGTGCAGCCGCGACTACGTGGCAAGCGAAACTTCTTCAGGGGTCTTTTTTTCCCCAAACTAGGGATGTCCAGTTCGTGGACGAGTCGTTCTTTTGAATCGACTCCCTTCATTGAATCAGTTGAAACTGTTCACAAACTGGTCTGAAGATTTCTTGGACCGAGCAGTTAGTTCATATGGAGTCAAGACTGTTCAGTGTTCACAACAGTAAACAGCAGAAATGTTACAAATTAAACGTACAGTACTTGACATGTTTATGTATGATATATTGAAATACATGAATCTTATTAAATGTTAAACTCGCAAAATTCTTATTGGTCAAGAGATCATGAATTGTAGTATTTTTCTGAAAATACAAATTACATATTTAGGTGCTAAAAAACATTTTATATTATGAGTTTATGACTTCAAACAAGTTGGGAAATATCACAACTTTATTTAAAAATAATGATAATAAACGTAGGCTAAGAAACGACAGAAATGTTACAAATTAAATGTACTGGAAATGTTTATGACTGTATTACATTTTAAAGTATATTAAACGTATTTAAATGTTAAATTTACAAAATCCCTTTTTGGGTAAGAGATTGTAGTATTGTTTATAAAAATACAAATGATATATTTAGGTTTTAAATGACATTTTTAATGAGTTGAATTATGATTTTAGCAAATTACTGGAACACATCACAATTACAATAAAAAAGTAACAATAAACGACCGTTTAATTTAGAGAATGTAATATGCCACGTTGAAATGTCATAACGCGATGGCGTAAAAGACTCGCTAGATGTTCTTCTGAAACGAACTGTTCGAAAGAACCGACTCGCGGACCTCAGATAACGCTCCAAAATTCCCAATGTAAAAGTTACCACCCTGAAATACAACATTGAATTATTATAGGTCAGCTTTTTCTGAGGACGCGCCTTAAGGACCAATATCTAATTTTCATTGGATATTACACAAATAGTCTCAGCACAACCACGCCCATCTAATCACACAGTATCCAATGAGAGGTTCGCCAAACGCAAATCCCACAGACGTCATGTCCTTCTGTGATCACATGGATTGGCATTCTCGAAGCATTTACGCCAGTCGTTTGCGTAATCTCATTCCCCAGCAGTCGCTTTGCGTCTTGCGCGTATAGTTGTCGTTGTTAAAGAATTATCTCGAGTTTCTTAAAGAGGCTGTGTTGGGCTCAGTCTTGCCACGACTAAGTAATGAATTGTCAAGAGAAGGTCTACCATGGAGGGAGTTCTCTATAAATGGACCAACTATATTAGCGGTATGTATACAGCGATAATTAAAAGTTATATTACGTAAAGCAGGGAAGTCTGTAAAGCTGTTAGCCTGTTTGCTAGCTCAAGCAGTGTATAAATGAAGTTAAGTCATCATCCTCTTTAGCTCTCAGTGCCGATATTTTTTCCAAAGCTGGGACCAGCTCAACCACATACTCATCTCATCTGCTAAGACTATTTTCAGAAAAGTTTGTCTTGGTCCTAAGATTATGCAATAGATTCTGTTTTATTCAGTTTAAAAAGCCTCCTCTTGACTGGAAGAGCAAGTCAAACCATAGTATGTTCATGGATCTCAAACGCCATCAAATACATTGTTACCCGTGTCAGTTACAGTGAAAATCATGACATAGTGCTTTGTTGTTTCTCTTGAAAGGCTGGCAGCCTCGTTGGTTTGTTCTCGAGGGAGGCACTCTTTCCTACTATGACTCTCAAGAAGATGCATGGAAAGGATGCAAGGGCAGCATCAAAATATCTGTGTGTGAAATACAGGGTAAGGAAAAGTTTATGCCCAACCTGAACAGGAAACCTAATAACCATTACATCACAAGCAGCTATTGTTTTTATGCTTCGGGATATCATAATGCTTACGCAAGGGGATATTGCTTCATCTTTAGGAACTTTTATGTCCCAGGGGCTGATTTTCATTAAAACTAACATTCAGCTGCTTTTGTTTAATGAGGTTTATGTTGTAAACTTTTTTTATTATGCTTCAGAACTTATTTTTGCTACTTTTTGAATGTCCTATGTGATTTAATCATTTTAGACTATTAATCTTAATTATAAAAAGTCATCATAAAAGTATGAATTATTGAACTGTAAACACAACCTTTTTTTTTTTTACAATATTTATTGTGTGAAAATTATTTATAATTATTGCCACTGCAACAACAATGCTGCTCCTAATAGATTTTGAGACAGTGAAGAGCTTGAGATGAAATATAAGACATGTGAGCAGAATAAAATAAAAAGTGAGCAGAATATTTGTATTGTACCTCATTTCTAGCCTGTAGTTTCATCAAATTATACAAAAGTGTGAAAATATTATTTAATTATATTTAGAATACATAAAATGCTAGATATGAAGTTATCCTTACGAAAACAAAAGGACAAACAAATTATGTAAAAAATGTACATTTCCGCTGCCATCATTTCCACCATAGAATGCTATTAAACATAATGCTTCATTTGAGATGTGGTGAAAATGACACTGTGATTTGCAATCATTATTGCTTTACTTGAATGGGAATGGGAAAAAGGAGCAGAATTGTGTGTTCACTGTTGAACACATTATTAGAATAATAAAATAAGTGAGAGTTATAAACAAGTATAGAGAATAAACAAGTTTTTAACAGGGCCAAAAGTGTCGATAGTTGAAGAGACACCCAAGTACTGTATAACAACTCTTGTGACTGATCTCATACTTGGCTTATCCATCTTCTTTGTCCTCCCTCTGCCCATTGTAGTTCACCCATCGGATTTCACAAGGGTTGACCTGATCATTCCAGGAGAACAATACTTTTATCTCAGGGCAATTAATGCAGCAGAGAGACAAAAATGGCTTGTGGCGTTAGGGACTGCAAAAGCCTGTCTCACAGACAACCGAACCAAGAGAGAGAAGGGTGAGTGTAGTATTTCTGCCGTAATAGACAAGATATTCTATGTAGATCATCTGACTTGTGTTAATATGACAATGAAATATGATAATGTAATATACACTGCCATTTAGGTCGATAGTTTGGGGTCAGTACTAATGTTTTTGAAAGAAGTCTGTTGTGGTCACTAAGGCTGTATTAAAAACTGCAAAAAACTGCAAATCTGAATTTTCAGCAGCCATTACTTCATTCTTCAATGTCACGTGATCCTTCAGAAATCATTCTGATATGCTATTTTGGTGCTCAAGAAACATTTCGTATTATTATCAATGTTAAAAGGGTCGAAAACATTCTTTGTTGAATAGAAAGTTCAAAAGAAAAGCATTTATTTGAAATAGAAATCTTTTGTAACAATGAAAATGTCGTCTTGTTTTTTCCAATTTTGATAAATTTATTGCATCCTTGCTGAATAAAAGTATTAATTTCTTCCAAAAAAAAAAAAAATCTTACCGATCCCAAACTTTTAAACATTGTTGTATATTGTTAAAATATATAACTAACCGGTTTTAATAGACAATATGTCAAATACAGGAAACTGTGTTTCATACGATTTCATGAGGACTTATGAGATTACATAACCCATTCAGATCATGACGTTTGTTCATTTTGCAATTTTTCAAAGAGCTGTCAATCCAAGTCTATGAAGAAAATGAATGTCAACAATAGTCTCTTTTATCTTCTCAGAGCTCCAGGAAAACACAGAGGCTCTGAAAACAAAAATGTCTGAGCTAAGGCTTTACTGTGACCTTCTCCTTCAGCAAGTGAACAAAATACAAGAAAGTTCTCTAGCGGAGACGACAGCTGATTCAGGGGAGGTAAGGGAGTGTTTGTCTTGAGTCAACCTACACTACGTTTACTGCATCTTTCAAGGACTTGACAAGCTTGTCTAAAATCAATAAAGAGCGTTTAGTAGTTCATGCTTGCACTAATGAATTGTATTATCATTCTGATTTTTTGTAGTTATGTCTCTAGCACAAAAATAAGGGGCAAAAATCTGTCCTAAATGGGTCAGACTGGTCAAGCGACTCTAAAACTTAAATTCTGTTTTGCCATTTGTGGGTTTCAGGTAGGGGACGAGACTGGAAATCTAGTGAAGTCCACATGCACCACCTTCTTGAAGACCCTGGAGGAGTGTATGCAGATTGCTAGCCAGACATTCAGTCCAGATCTTCTGAGTCAGACCCCTCCAGGCTCTCCTCCTGTGGCTACCATCAAACCTCAGAAGGTATATTAAACATAATCACCCAATGGAAAATACAAAAGATTGTGCTGTTGTAGATTCAAGTTTAGTTGGTCAGAACCTAAAATAGAAAGTTTATTTTTTTCTATAGATCAAACTTACTGATCCAAGAAATCAGCACCCAGGAGAAAAGTGAGTTCAGTTCATGTTAATGTACTCTTGTGGGTCAGATGTGCTTTTGTTTTTCCTCTACAATGTTTAAAATGTGTGTTGTGCAGACAAAAGGACTTAATAAACACCTCAGGAACATCAGCACAAGAGAGTGGACCAGAAAACGAACCGCCTCCATCTCCTCAAGAAAGCATGCCTACATCTCCTACAGGTTTGCCAAACATTAAGTTAGTCAGATTCAGACTGATTACACATGAAACATTTGGCAGACCTCAACTATCATTTCCTGTCTTGTCTATGTCTTGTTCTGTTAGGAAGTGGTTTAATGGAGGACCAAGAGGAGTCCATGGAGCCTCATAATGGCTCTTCATCAAGCACACAGAACCCTGAAGAATCTGTAGGAGAGGACATACCGACAAAAGAAGCAGACCTTGCCCAAGAAAAACAACAGGAAGTCTCACTGAGCCCCACACAGAACAAAGAAGAAGAGGTCACTGAAGAAATCCAGGCTGACCTGGAAGTGAACGAGCCTCAGTCTGAGAATAGACAGGAAGAGGAAGATAAGGTGGACACATTCTTCAGTACCATGAGCCACAGGTATGAGGCGCCTCCGTTGCTGTGATCCTTCTGAGGGAACAAGATGAATGTACTGCACACATTTACACTATTCAGAATTTGTTGTTTTTGTTTGGAAAATTAGCTATGGTCATGCTAATGTCACGCTATGAGCTAATAACTACTCTTAGAATTTTGTTTACAGAAATGTGCTGTATGCAACAAAGTCAGCATTACAGTAAAAATCAATATTGAGGGACTATAGATCTCCACTGAGTAATATTGTGTCCTAAGTAATCAGGTGCAGCGCGATAAAGTGACATGCGATCAGTCCCTGTCTATTCTGTGTTAAAGGAATATTCAGAGGTTAATCGCAAGGTAAGGTCTGTTGAAAGAATTTGTGGCTTGCTGTGAAATACCACAGAAAACAATTTGGACTCACCTAAAAGTTCATAAAAACTTTCAAGACAAGACTATCACTGACTATATTTGTCACTTTACACAGGGTAGCTCTGCCCACAGTTTAATATGTAAATGCTACATATTAAATTCTAGATAAATGATTGTGCTTTTGTCACTTGTTCAAAATGTTGCTGTCAGTTAGGACAAATATAAGACTTTATACTGGATACTGTTATACTGTTGGATTATGATGTAAAAGGCACTTTCCACAAATAGGGTACAATTTATTGTCCCATTACTTTTTTCAGCATTAGATGCACAGATTTTAGAAAACCAAACTATTTTTTATAGTTTTAGAAAAAAACTATTGTCTAACATGACATATATAAATGAATCAAATATCTGTACCCATCTTAAAATAGAGATATTTTCGAATGTCATATAATTTTTTGACATAATATTGAAGTGCTCTTTAATTAATTGTAGTTAAAATCTAAAAATTGTGACGCCCAATAAGTAGCAATTTTTGCATCATCTTTTTTTCTACAGGAAGTCTTATTCATTTTTAGTTTTTTTTTTTCAAACCTGTCATCTAAGATATTATAAGAAAAATTATTACATAAATATTCTTTAATTTATTGGAAATAAATTTTTATTAATAACGATAAACCAAATCTCAAACTAGCTAGTCCCTACCGAGTGGCAGATTAATTTAGGCTAACATTTCAGATTTTAAACTGGATTTAGATGTACAGCATTTTGGTAACATGGTTTGCAGAACTCTCAAATAAAATCACATTTAAAAATTTTAAATGTAATACAATTTAAAATGTAAGAATTTTTTTTAATGTAAAATCAAATGGTTTAAATAATAAGTAAACTGACTTCCTGAAGTAGAAGTTAATGGTCAAGCACCTTCCTTGCTGGAAAGACTCTTACTTGTACCTTGCTTGTGGAAGGTTCCATAACTACTGTAAAAGTCTTGCAGTTTCAATATAGTGATTTCAGCCTGTAAAGTTCATGATTAAATGTTCATCATGGTATGCTTTCTTTTGGTCGCTCAAAATGAGGCCCAGCCGGTGACGAGGGTTTGTAGATTCTTGTGCTCTTCATAATTTTCTCATCTCTTTTATGTAATAATGAGGTTATCACGTAACTACAACACTAACCTGTTCCAACAGCCTTCATTGGGCTGAAACGAAATTAAATTGAACCAGTAATGCGAAATGTTATCAAAGCAACTTGTCCGTATTCAGATATTAACCTTTTCAGTATTATATCACTTGTGTGAAGGTTGTATAATCTAATTTATAAAACCTGTATTTAATGTGTGCTCTTCTTATTTAAGGACTGCATGCTCCAAAACTGGTTTCCTTCTGCTTTGGCTATGCCTGCTTTTGTATTGGTGGTTTATTTAATCAAATAAATGTGTTTTGTTGACGTGGGTACTAATGTATTGTCCTTGTCTGAATGTCTGTGGTTTTTTCTTGTAGATTTAGTGATATAATACTGGAGGACGACAGTGGTATTCCCACACAGGCCTTTTTGGATTCTTGCTATGCTATAGTACCAGTTTTAGGTAGGACACTCTATCTTTCACTCTTTCTCCCTTTTCCGTCCTTTCCATGTCTCTTTCCCCCGTCAGTCCAGGTTGCCTTATTCTCTGCTTTAATTAGTTATGTGCTTATTAAAGGTTGTGAAATGCTAATGGGGACATTGATTTTTGTCACTCTGTACATGTGTCGGTTCACCATGTGCTCTTGATTTTTATTTTTTTTTCATAATTTGCATCTCATATTAGTCTGCACAGTAAATACCTCATTCTCCTTCAGGCATGGTCATGCATGCTCTGCTATGTCTTTATACTGGGACAGTTCGGTGAGTATCTGGCCAAGAACATGAAAATCTGTGTCAGCAATCAATTATTACAAAAGCTTTTGTACAAAGGATTTTCCTCACTTTCTTCTTAAGAACATACTGTATCAATGTGATAAAGGTGATTGGGGTGTCATGCACTTTTTTGAGAGGGCAGCATTAGTCTATCAGTACAGTTTTTAAACCTCACTTTTTTCTATAGTTCGAATGGGCATGATGCTTTTGAAAGTAATTGGGGATTGGGTAACGGTTGATCGCATTTCTCTGTGGGTGATGGTGGCTCAATATACTTCCATGCATGACAGGAATACAGTAGATCGGGGAGCAAGTAGATCTTTGGACTGCATATAAATTACCATGAATTGTTATTTTCCACAAACGTGTCTAGACCTTCACAAATAATTACATGAAAAAAAAAAAATCTATGTGCGAAATGGAGCATGTTGCTGCTTCACAGTTACTGTGACCCTCACCAATATATGTGGGTCAAAGATGTTAAGATGTTCGCATCAAAAGAAATTTACAAAAGTGATTTTATGTCCATAGAAAGCACATTAAATGTAAGTAAAGTGTCTATTTTAAGGTTTCAAATATGTTTTTGGAGAATAAAATGTCAAAATTTGGTTGAAATAATGTTACATTGTCATTCAGTGTAACACAATATTTATGTAAAAATTTAAACAACATGCTTCTTCTGACATGTATATATTAAAATATATAAAAGAATAAGGGAGCATATTATATTTTATTGTGTTTTAAATGAGTAAAAAATTCTTACTGACAATTGGGCAAAACCTATGTTGTAAAATTACAACTAATTAGTATTTGGGGTGAAAGTAATCAGTCTTTTAATATGTCATAAATGGATTTTTGTTGTAAATATGCCTGCCCATGTATACACTACCATGCAAAATTTGGGGGTTGGTGAGATTTTATGATGTCTGTTATGCTTAACCTGGCTGCATTTCTTTGATAAAAAATACAGTAAAAACAGTACAATTGTGAAATGTATTTACAATGTAAAATAACTTTTTTTAAATTCCTGTGATGGCAAAGTCATTTATTTAAAATAGGATTTTTTTTTTTGTAATAATGTAAAAGTCTTTACTGCCACTTTTGATCAATGAATCCATCTTTACTAAATGAATGTATTAATTTCTTTCAAAAAAAAAAAAAAATTCTTACTGACCCTAAACTTTTGAACAGTAATGTATGTTTAGCCAGAAAATAACGACACAGTACTTACAAAGGCTTTCTCCCCTCAGACAAGCTTGGACCAACTGTCTTTGCTCCAGTTAAAATAGATTTTGTGGGAAACATTAAGGTAAGTGTAACATGCAAACAATGACATTTTTCAAGACTCACTGCATCCTCTTTTTAATAAAAGTAAGAACTGTAAATAATACGTGGCATATTTTAAATTACATGACTAATGGGTTTACAGATTATAGATTCACTAGGATGACATTCAATACACAATTTAATCATCTGTAATAATTACCCATTTATTTCTTCCTTAATATGCTTAGAGTATTAGAGTTAGAGTATTGTGTTTTTTTTAGTATTCCAAATTATAAATTCTACAAACTTGTGTATTTGTCTTCAGCATATTAGTGAAATTAATTTTAAATTTTACCAATATAATCAAACCAAACGGAATCAGAATGCATCATGTTTTAGCAAATCAATAAATTGTTGTCAGAGAAAATATTTGGTTAATATGGTTTGAGCACTCAAAGTAAACCCGTGATGACTTTGAGGCTGGTTTGTAATGAGCTTCCTTGCATATAACAGTATGTGAATTATGGCTTTGGAGGTCAGAAATTTTTGCCAAGAGTAATCAACTGTAGTATTTAACAGGTTCAACAAGGTCCTCACATTCACTGTCTCTGTATTTATTTGGGATGACACCATAACCACTAGAGGGCATAATAGCTTGGTCTGTGAGTTGATCCTCCTTATTTTCTCCATCAGAAAATCCAACAGAAGGTGGTGTCCGATCCTGAGAGTTTCCCCACCCTACAGAGCATCGTGCTGCATGAGGTGGAGACGGAGGTGGCACAGGTGCGGAACTCGGCCACAGAAGCACTGCTGTGGCTTAAACGTGGACTCAAGTTCCTCAAAGAATTCCTTTCTGAAATCAATACAGGGATGAAGGATGTCCAGGGAGCTCTTAGTAAGTCACATGATCAAATTTGAAACAGTTGCACCTGAAAATAACACCTGGTTCAAACAACTGTCCTTCACCTATGATGTTGTTATCAGTGCTTTGTAATGTCTCCTGCTGAAAGTTTTTTCTTCTTTCAGATAATGCATATGGAAAGACACTGCGGCAATATCATGGATGGGTTGTTCGAGGTGTCTTTGCGGTAAGTGTTGTGTTTTGAGTGATGTTTTTCCATTAAAATTTTTTTAAACAATTAGACATCTTTGTGTCAGTGCTCCATGTTCTGTTTATGTTTCTGTCAAATACCAAAATTGATTTGTTTTCTATTTTTTTTTTTTAAACAATTAGACATCTTTGTGTCAGTGCACGTCAGTGCTCCATGTTCTGTTTATGTTTCTGTCAAATACCAAAATTGATTTGTTTTCTATTTTTTTCTACTTTTTTTTTTTTTCTTTTTGAAGAAACTTTATGCAATTTTGCCATACAAGCATAATAATAACCAGGGCTGCTAAGCTTCAAAAAGGGCAAATCCAATTATAAAATAAAGAAGTAAGAAGTCCAAAAACAAAAAAACCAATGAAATAAAAAATTAAAGTATGGAGCCCTGCACATGACATGCAGGAAAAAAAAAAAAAAGATATTGTGGCCATGAATTAACAATTTCTTTCTTCATTTTAACTAAAAAAAATGGTATTGAGGAACCTATCAAATTCCCACCACTTATCAGTTCGTGTCTACAATATCTATCTATTATTTTATTTATTTTTTTATGTGTGGGGCTATGTATTTATACCATTTTGTTTTTAGATTTAATTTTTGCCATTTTATTGCGATAGGACAGTATAGAGTAGATGTATATGCCATTTAATGTATGTATGTATTTATTTATTTTATGGCCAACTATGAAATATCTTGTGCAGTCATTCTCTAAAGCTGATAATGCAATCTGCTAATAATTACATCATCACAACATGGCATGAGCTGATTGTTCAATGAGCTTTCTGCTTAACATTTAAATAGACTTGATCTGTGTTTACTGTAAGGAAGTCTTGTAGCACACTATCAGAAACCCTTCCCCTCCCCCAGCTCCACCCATATAGATCTGCTATGGGTATTTTCATGTATGCTAGATGTTCACAGCAGCTTGTCTATAGATGTATTGGCAGTAGCAAGTCTCTGTACTTGCTCTGCAGCAGGTGCATCAGCATAGCTGATCTATTCCACCAAGACCAAATACATTAATACCGGCATGTCCATTACAATGCAAAACTATTCCGATAGTTGTCATGATTGATCGTTTTTTTAGCACAGGCTGGGCATAGATACTTTAAAAATGTCCTTTTGTGTTCCATTGAAAATAAAATAATATACAGCTTTGGAAAAACATAACATGCATTCAACCCGCCTTTCTGACTCTGTTTATATGGTTGTTTGTGTGTGTTAGCTGGCTCTACGGGCCGCCCCGTCCTATGAGGACTTCATGGCTGCTCTGGTTTCTCATGAAGGCGATGAGCTGAAGGAAGGCTTTACGACCGGCATGCATCGAGACCTGGATATCTACCTGCCAGCTATGGAGAAGCAGCTGTCCATCCTGGACGCTGTCTATGAGGAGTACAGCTTGGAATCAGACGAGATCGTGTGACTGACACGCACGCACCCGCACAGAGAACAGAGCCTGCTTCTGACGGAGCTCATCGGTTTCAGTGGTGAAGTTTCGCCTGCTGTGGTAACCGAACCTGAAGTTAGTGTTGAAGAAGACAGGGAGGTTTCTGTGAATGCAGGGCTTGCAAAGCCTGATCAGTAAGAGTGTGTTGGATAATGTGGCATCTGCAGACTCCAGTATGCCTGTCAGATGACTGTCATCCCTGCGCAATTTAAATGGCCGCCATCAAAATAATGCTAGCTGAGGGGGGCAGGGTGTGATTCCAAGTGTTTTCAGGGAACAGCTGTATTTTTTAGAAACCTTCAGTGCAGTGATCAAGTGTTTTGTTGACATTGGTTGTATGTTTTTTCATGCACTTTTAGGCACGAGAGTATAAATGGCAGATAAGATGAAGATAGTGTTAGTGAAGGTTTACAGTTAAAGGGCAAAACTGCACTTGTGCTTTACTTCTCACTTGAAATATTGCATTACTTTTGTTCATATACTCGCATCTCATTCGTTTTAGACTAGCACAAAACTAAGAACTTATTCAGACTTTCGGGGATTCGGATAAACATGCAGTGCGTTCGTAAAACCAAGTACTTAAGTATACAGATACTGTGGTGGGCTATTTTTTGCAGTGACATAATCTTAGATTAAACACATTCACAACGGCTATAGTTCGGGACTTGTAGGATCAACGTGGTGAGAGGGACCAAAGGAGAGTTTCTTTTTCATAGCTTAGTGGAGAGATTTCCTACTATAGAGTACATGCAGCTGTGGCTCTACAAAAGGAAAGATGTCATGATATTTCCTCAGTGACTTTATTTATTGACTTCTTTATATGAATATTAATTCTAACTGTTGATTTTATTGTAAGAATCACACTATGCTTACTCTCCAATCATATGAATGATACAAATTTTTGCATGTTGCATTGCATGGGTTTTGTTTTTATATTTCTAAATTAATTAGCACATGAGGATGACTGTTCTCTTAGGTTTACATTTTATTTTAACTGCATTCCACAAAGTTTTAAACTAAAATCTGACAAACCGTTGGCTTTATAAATATGCCTTTCTAACATTGTAAATGTCAGATTTTTCATGTTGTTCCAAACCTGTATGACTTTCTACTTCTGCTGAGCACAAAAGATATTTTGAAGTATTTTGGTAACCAAAAAGTTATTCTGCGAATATAAAATACTGAGACATTTCTCAAAATATGTTCTATGTTTTTGAACACCATGAGGGTGTCAACAAACCTGTATGAACTTCTTTCTTCTGTTGAACACAAAAGAAGATAGTTTGAAGAATGTTAGTAACAAAACAGTTGACGTAGCCATTGATTTCCATAGTATGGAAAAAATATACTACGGAAGTCAATGGCTACGTCAACTGTTTGCTTACCAACATTCTTCAAAATATCTTATTTTGGGTGAACTATCCCTTTAAATTCAATTGAAAAGCAGAGCTTTGACATGGCAGCATTAAGGAAAAATGTTTAGTTTTTCTTCTCCCAGGAATAGCACACAGGATCCATGTTGTCATTCACTAGTATTAAAATTAGTCTATATGATATGCCTTTTTATATGTTTTTACTAATTGTAACTTTTAAATTGTATGTCATTTATACTGAATTGCCTGCAGTGTTTTTAATCTTTTTATTCAAAATTTCATGCAACATAGATCGGTTTTGTATTTTCAAAGTCATTAGTTGACCAATAATAGGCATTATCCATTCAAGTGACCGTTATAGACACAAGTAATTTTACATCATCATTATGACACTCAATCCTTCAATATCTGGATGTGGTTGCTGGGATACTCTCACCACAACAAGGATGATCTCTAGACTCAATAATAAGGGCTAAGAATAGAAGGATTGTTTTTACGTGCACTTGTGCATGTGTAATAGAGAGAGAACGGTTTCTGATGTTTTTGTTTGTCAAAACGCATAGCAAATAACCAGAGGCAGTGTTTTTTTTTTTTTTTTTTTACTGTTTTGATAATGTATTGTACATTACTAATCTGTAGTGACTAAATATACTACTACAGTTGAATATAGTATTTATTAAATGGGCGTCATGACAGTTCTGAGAGGAGCTATATTGCATTCTGTACTCAATGGAAACACTTTACCTATGCAATGTTGGTCCATCCATTTCCAGGGGATGATGGGAAAACATTCGGGAGAACGTCTTGGGCAGGCAGCACGGTGGAATTGGCACTTGTATGCCAAATTAACCTCTTGCAACACCCCCAGCACTCTATCAAAAACTTCTTGGCCCATGAACAGAGTTTTCCAGTGACCTGACTGCAAGCTTCTTGGAAGGGGAGGTCTAATAAGTTTATTGGATTTCAGCCAACCAAACAAACTATATTTGATTAAGCAATATCACACAAGCTTTTGTACAACAGTTAATATTGAGTTCACACAAAATGTGGTTTTTGCATTCCACTGTGCTGCTTTTGTGTATTAGACTGACATATTTAGCTGTTGAGCTAAGGTCTCGGCGCCCTTTTGCAAACTCTTGCACACGACAGCATTTAAAAAAAAAAATGCATCTCTAGACCTTGCGTTTTCTGTGAATGAACCCTTAATTGTTTTTCGTTCCTAAATGAATCAAGATTCGTTAAATGAATTGAGGAAATGATTCAATGCCTGCTTACCGGATGAAGCAATGAATGTTGTTGTTGTTGTCGCTGCATCGTCACATAAACCTACCCTAAAGCTGTGGTAACACTATTAGAGCACGGGCACTATACCGCATGTCTAGGGCTTCTGTTTTTAATAAATAATGCAACTTTAACAAAATCTAAATTCAAAATGTGAAAATATATTTTCCTGCAACACTGTAAACCTGCAGCTTTGACATGCGTGTTCTTTGTATTGAGGCAAGAGGTCAATCAGTGAAATTCATATTGGCTCATTACCTGCAATAATCCAAAAACCAACTCTTTGTCGAGGCAACCAGGGTAATGCTAACTTCCAGGTTGGCCTAAAAAAATACGTCATCACTGCACTATACAGCATTTATTGACCTTCTCAGTAAAATTTAGCTAGTTGATTCTATTTTAGACTCCAATTTTTAAATTGATAAACACTTATCTGTGTTCTTGTGAATTGGCGCTTTGTTCCTGGCTATTATATGTGTTTGTGTATGTTGTTCATTCCCTGCCATTCTGCTGCACCTTGCATGTTTGCCATTCCCTCCGTAGGTCAGGGATTTTCACTGGGGCCCCGGGTGACAGCTGGGTCCTCTATGTTTCTTGCCTGTGAGGCCCCCTGTCCTCCGTCCTACACCAGCACCCGAAATGTGACACCACTAAACCTGCATTGGTATAATCCATCATCATACTTACAATATGGCAGCCGCCTTTTTCCTATTTAATTTAATCGCAGTCTACGGAGCTGTTTCCAAAATTGCCCCCATACACTATTTCTTTGCTCATTCACTCCATGAGTCCACAGAATGAGTGAAAGAAAACAAGCAAATTTGGACACTTGAGTGTGTTGGAAGTGCTTCAGACGTCATCTTTTTGTGAGACGTGGGAATTAATTTGGCGCAACACTCATAAAATTCTTTATTCGTTGTTCAGTGTACATCGGTTGTACACTTGTGATTGAGGTGCATTATGGGATTGAATAAGTGCACTCAATTATGTCCACTATGGTTTTCCACACCACTACAAATGGCTGTCCCTTCAAATAGTCAGTGCTGGGTAGATTAATTACAAATTGCAGTCTGTTACTGATTACAAATTACATAAAGTTTGTAGTTAGTAATGTAGTCTATTAGATTACACATTTTATGTAATCTAATCTGACTATTGTTTGATGACTTTTAGACCTAACTTGTTCATCATATAGATTTAAATAGGATTATTTTGTACCATATTAATATAAAAACAAAAAGAAAATATAATCCATTATTTATGATCAACTACATGAACTGCATTAAACATTACATCACGTCAAGGTTTCCCAAGCTGGCATTCAGAAAAGGAAAGAATTAGGCAAAATAAACTAAATATAAATAATTTGAATTATCAATCATTTCTGTGTGAATAATATGCATTTAATCAATTTTAAAATAGAATATAATCTAATTACAAGTACTTTTTAAAAAAAAATCCGATTGCATAATCTATATAATCAGTTACTACTACCCTGAAAATAGTGCACTATATAGGTGGCGATTTGGGACACAGTTTAGGATTTCAACAACAGACATTTCAAACTCCAGGCTTTAAGATTATCAGAAAGTTTCCACCCAGCCCCAATGGAAAGTCCTGGGCAGCTTTAGCTAAATAAGACCCCATTTGAGCCCCTGCAAATGCAACAGGGATCTCACCTCACACCCTGTTCCATGCGGCCCCCCTCTTCAAAGTCTCATACTGGCATGTTCCCAACAAAGTTCAAAATCAGATTGTGTTATGCAATGCATATGTAAGAAATTGCCTAGCTCATCTGCAGGGCAGGCACATTACCGTAATGTGATTAGTGGGTCAATATATGGCTGTGTAATATGGTTACTGAACGGTAACCATCTTCAAAAATCTGTGTACCCAACTCAGGGTTCCTGCCAACCTTTACAAACACACACACAATAATAATAAAAAAAAATGCCGGTCTAAAGCCATAGCACAAGACTTTTTCAGGCTCTGTGGTCTGTTCTTCCATCGGCACAAAGTGTTTCTTTCCTGGAAAGCTGTCGACAGCATCCCTTTTATCTTTCTCTGTCACCTTCCATCTCAACCATGATCAATACACCGTCTATCACTGTCAGGCCTCACGCCCACATATACAGTTTCTGAGCAGCAGAGCCAGAGACTCAGCACAGAAATGCTGATGTAACTGCGGCTGGCAGTGATTTAGCACAGAGCTTAGTCAGCTACAGCACCTTGATGAGCAAGAAAAACTCATCAAATATACAGCGATGAGAGCAGTACGACGTTCTCTGAAGGCTTGCCAACACAAAAATGTTAGTGGTGCCAACCCTGATAGAACCAAAAATAACTTTTAAAAAGTGTAAGAATCACTTAAGTCAACATAAAGTAACATTCATAATACACCTCTGTGGAACAAAATAGAAGTTATTGCTTGAATTTCTTAAAAAAAAAAAAAAAAAAGACAAAATTTGAAAGCTGAGACTTTTTCATGCCCAAAAGTAACCTGCTCTGTCTTGTCTGCCGGCACGTTGTCAGTGTCCTCTTTGCTCCGCAATGTATTTTTCACTGTGTGAGAACATCATGTGTGGCGTGCGTGAGAGAGCCATGGCTTGTCCAACGTAGCAAGAGTAACTAAGGTGGGCAGGTCTTTGTGAAGGGTCAATTGCCTTCATTTGGAACTATTTTTCTGGTGGAGCAGAATTAGACAGAAAGTGTCAAAGATGTAAAGAATCGAATACACTACACAACTTTTGCCCAGATGTTTGCCCTGAATGAGTCAACGCAATGAGTCTGAATGAGACGATCTGCAGCTTTTCGGCAGTGTAGTGTATGATGGGCATTGGGCACCGACTTTTTTAAGCTTTAGACTATGATTCCATCCAGTCTGAGGATATTGATAGTTTGAGCCAATTTTACAACACGCGTTGTTTTCATTTGTCAAGTGTTTTCTAGCAACAAAGCGCGTGTTTCTGCGTGGGTTTGTTGTGTTTGGAATGCCTGGTAGTGTGTGATCTTAAGTCATTTAGTGCGATGCCAGTTTTTCCTCTGTAACCATTTACAAAGTCAACAAATGAATTATACCTACTAACTCAACATTAACTTCTGGTTCATTGAGCTGTTGTACAAAAACAAAATCACATTTGTTCTGTCGGTATATTATCCTAAAACAATGCCTTTAAAGCTGGTATACACTACACAACTTTTCAAATCTGAACAGATTTTATAACACTAGGCATCATACACTCTCTGACTTAATGGTTACTTTCTCTGTAAATGGTAACATCACACACTAAACGACTGAAGGCTGGAATACATTTCACAACTTTTGCCAATTTGCAATTTGGACAAAAGTCGATGATAGCGATTGAACATTTTTGTCAGTTGGATATGACGGATTTCACAGCGTGTGATAGGCAAAGACTTTTTTTAAAGGGGTCATATGATGTTGCTAAAAAGAACATTATTTGGTGTATTTGGTGTAATGAAATGTGTTTATGCGGTTTAATGTTCAAAAAACACATTATTTTCCACATACTGTACATTATTGTTGCTCCTCTATGCCCCGCCTTTCTGAAACGCGTCGATTTTTACAAAGCTAATCGGTCTGAAAAGCGAGGTGTGCTATGATTGGCCAGCTATCCAGTGCGTTATGATTGGCCGAATACCTCAAGCGTGTGACAGAAATGTTACGCCCCTTACCATATTGTGATG